TAGAATGAGCCAAAGAGAATATTAAGGCATATGTGTAAAAGTAATGGTGAAGACACACAAATCTGATCCTCAACACTTCCAAAAATCCCATATTGAGTGGAGAAGACCTTAAGTGATTTCTCCTTGTGTTCAAACAAAAACCTGAAGATCTATTGTTTAAAGCTAGGGTTAAGGAGGTGAGTCTGGTCCATGTGAGAAAATTGGGTGCTTATATTTATTTTGTGTCTATTTAGATATGTCACAAAGCCTGTGAATCCTTCCTAGTGAATTCTTTTAACAGTCCCAGTACCAGCAAATGGTACTCATACCTTGTACTGGGTCCCAAAACCTGGTATCTGTCTATGTGGATGCCACTACTGGAACTCCAGGCTAGACACTGATTTGAGAAACAATTTCAGTTCCTCATAGTCTCCAACTGTGTAACAGGTTTACTTTGGAGGTTTGTTGAAAATTCAAAGTGGCAGAAATTAGCCTTAGCTAGATAGGGATGACCTAAAGAATATCCTTCAAGGGACGGGGTCAGGGGGGTGGGATTTTAGTAAAATCAAACCAGCCCTGTTTCTTAAAAGTTGCATAACATAATGTCAGTTCTGCCTTGGAGATCTGTAAAAGTTTGTGGGCCAGAGTTAGGCTGCAGATTGTAAATTCTCACACCTGTTTTAAGACACTGGTTATATTCTGTACCCATAGCATTCCATGCTTCTTTGCAAGTTAGCTCCCTGATTCCTATTAGTGAAATGAAGAGCAATTATACACAATCCCTGGTGGCCCATCACAGTCAGAACTAAACAGATGAGCTCAGAGGTCATTTGAATCTTTATAGAAGAAATAGATAAATCATTTTCTTGTAATCCAAACTGAAGTCTCAAGGACTCTGAAAACATTTACATTCATGCCTTATGATAATCAGAATTTAAATGGAAATAATCTAAATATGGCCTACATTCTTGCAATTGCTATTAGTCTTTAAAAACAGTTTCTTTAAAGGAATGAATGTGTAATGACTCCTGTAATGTATTTAATAGAAGTTGGGCTGAAATTCACTGTGATTTACACAAATATCACTGGGGGAAAAATAAAGCCATTATAAGATAATTTTGTTCCTACTTTTAACACAATATACTCTTCAAGTAGAACAGGTTTCTGCATATAATTAATAGCATCAACTCAATTTAATGAATAATTCCACATTTAAATCTCATTCAGTTATTTGGAATCTAGTCACAACATTTAACTAGTGGAACAGCTTGCCTCCAGAAGTTGTGGGTGCTCTGTCATTGGAGATTTTTAAGAAAAGATTGGCCAGCCATTTATCTGTCGGGTCTCCTGCTTGAACAGGGGGTTGGAATACAAGATCTCCAAGATCCTTTCCAACTCTGTTATTCTATTATATTTCTATGATATATTAATGATAAGCTATTCAGTATAAAATCAATATAACTGAAATTTCAGCTGGAGTTTGCCTGAGTAAAGTTCACCAAAGGACTTTATTGTTATTGGAATTAGGCATGCTTAGATCTTTAGCCTTATCTTTTCTATCAAAAGAATTATTTTTGATACAAGTTGCTATTCTTAACATCCTTAACTCAATAATGTAGATAAGATAAGAAAAGATTGGCCAGCCATTTATCTGTCGGGACTCCTGCTTGAACAGGGGGTTGGAATACAAGATCTCCAAGATCCTTTCCAACTCTGTTATTCTATTATATTTCTATGATATATTAATGATAAGCTATTCAGTAACAGAGGGATAGAATCAAGATCACGTGAAGGATTCATACCACTTTACAATGCCTTGGTAAGGCCACACTTGGAATACTGCATCCAGTTTTGGTCACCACGATGTAAAAAAGATGTTGAGACTCTAGAAAGAGTACAGAGAAGAGCCACAAAGATGATTAGGGGACTGGAGGCTAAAGCATATAAGGAACGGTTGCTGGAATTGGGTATGTATAGTTTAACGAAGAGAAGGACGAGGGGGGACATGATAGCAGTGTTCCAATATCTCAGGGGATGCCACAGAGAAGAGGGAGTCAAGCTATTTTCCAAAGCACCTGAAGGCAGGACAAGAAGCAATGGATGGAATCTAATCAAGGAGAGAAGCAACCTAGAACTAAGGAGAAACTTCCTGACAGTTAGAACAATTAACCAGTGGAACAACCTCCCTCCAGAAGCAGTGAATGCTCCAACACTGGAGGGTTTTAAGAAGAGACTGGACAGCCATTTGTCCGAAATGGTATAGGGTTTCCTGCCTGAGCAGGGGGTTGGACTAGATGACCTCCAAGGTCCCTTCCAACTTTACTATTATTATTATTAGTATAAAATCAATATAACTGAAATTTCACCTGGAGTTTGCCTGAGTAAAATTTACCAAAGGACTTTATTTTTATTGGAATTAGGCATGCTTAGATCTTTAGCCTTATCTTTTCTATCAAAAGAATTATTTTTGATACAAGCTGCTATTCTTAACATCCTTAACTCAATAATGTAGATACTTGTAAAACTATTTAAGGCCTTAAAATGTATATGTTCTGAAAAATATGTATCTGTTTTAAATTCAGCATAAGCCTTGAAGCAGACTCCAGCTATGAAGAAACTTAAAGAATAAACACATCTATATAAATAAAAATGTAAATGTTCGTTTGTTCAAAATCTTAAATCTCCGAAAGTTCTTCACCGATTGCTTTGAAATTTTGACACAACATTGCATTTGAATATGCGCGTTTTTATATACCTACTATTATATAGATGTCACACCTGTGACACAAACGCTTTCTCTGTTCTTTCTTTTCCATTTAACCAGACTGAGCCACAGCAACGCGTGGCTGGGTACAGCTAGTTCTAAATAATTCTTGAAGTGAACTTTCCATATTGAAACATCAAAAGTATGGGGTGTTCATTGTAAAAATTTGTGCGTAGCTTCTATAAGCATCATATTATGATCTCACTCGGTGCAAAGAGAAAAAGAAAGATCTTATATCACTTGCCACCTGCTAAGAATTAAAGAAAAGAAGTATTCCTATCATACTATTTCTTTATGATGTAAACAGTGTTATATACATAGATATAAGATATAATAATCCATATAAAAGTATGAGATAAGAAAAACAAAAGAAAGTGTAGATTCATTCATTATACATGTCCAATACTGTAACTGCAACTCATTCTTCCTTATGCCATATCCATACACAATTGCATACCAACCTGTTCGCCCTTTAAACCTTCCCATATCTTAAAGGTTTTAAAGAAAAATATACTGTGAACAAGAGCATTAGTCTCCCAAAGTTTTGGTTTCCATTTTATTCAGCACCATTTCTCAAATATCTGGATAAAGATGCCAAAGAAATCCACTGAGAATTGTGAGTCATTAAGCAAATACCCACCCAAATCCAAGCCGTTCTGGTCTTGGTCCCTCTCACCTCCCAAACCCCTTCCCCCTGGCTCTGCCCTCTTGGTTGCCCTGCGTTGCAGGGCAGCAAGCTGTCCCAGAACTGCTTACCACCCTCTGGGAAGTCACAAACACCCCAGCCCAGTACCAGCCACAATTCCTCTCGCCATCTCCACACTCCAAAATCCCTGCTATCCTGCTCTTTGTGGCTGCAGTTGAACTTTGCTGTTTTCCTGCTCCCATTGCTGATGAAAATAACCAGCTGGCTGCTAGGCCAGACTGGGCTGGACTTCAGCTGTGTGTGGGGGGGTGTCAAAAGAAGGTCTAGAGTCACGGCATGCCAAACACCCGTGTAAAAAAGCTCCTGGAGCACAGCATGCAAAAATGCCGCTTTGCAGAAAATGTTCCTAGGCCAGGCTAAAAAGAAAAAGAAAGGCAAAAACAGCCGCAGAATCATCTCACGCCAAAAAAGTCTCTTTGCCTTTGCTGCTTTGAGCTTTTTGTTTTTTTTATTTTTGGGGAATGCAAAGCCTGCCTCACCTACAAGCTCTTTGCAAAGGGGCTTTTGGTATGCTATGGGTCTGGGGTACTTTTGCCTTCTTTTTCACAGCATGAAGCCGAAGCCCAGCCCAACAGTAAGGGCACCCATGCCTTGTCAGCAGTGAGAGCAAGAGTATGGCAAAGGTCAGCTGGGACAGTACAGCACAAGGTGGCAGGGGACCAAAAGGGTATGGTGGAAACATAGGTAGTGGCAGTGGTTTTTTTGTAAGAAAAAAGGTGCCAGAACTCACATCTTGTTAATTTTTTATTTACCTTTTGCACATAGTCAATCACTGTACACACACACACGTCAGTTGTGTAATGAAACATAACAGTCATCGCTTGCAGTAAGCACTCAGCGCGCAACCACATGACCAATCACAAGCTGAGCAGTGCCCCAAGCTGAGCAGCCGGATGAAGTACGCATGCATCGGACTCGACACAAAAGCAGCCCGCATGCACCGTTTTAATGATTTTGCCACCAACCTGCTATGCTTGACAGGGCGATTCAAGTCCATGTGGACCAAACATCAAATTTTCAAAAGTTACTTTTAAAACTTGGAATATCTGTCAAAAAAAGGTGCCGGAGCTCTGTTCCGGTGAGTTCTATGACAAAAAAAGCACTGGATAGTGGTATTCCTGCAGCTTTAAGTGCAGGTAATCTTCTAGGCTCCCAAATTTTGATCAAGTGACCGCAAGGCCACTGCAACAGCTTTAACTTTGGACATGTATCCTAAGTGTATTCATTTAGCACTGTCATAACTTTGAATGGTCACTGGGTGAATTATCATAAATCAAGGTCTATCTATACATTCTTAAACTGTTCTATAAGCTGACATATTAGAATTGTGGATCATTTTTTAAATCTATAAATAGCTTCTAGGAGAATTTAGTATGGCAAATCAGAGGTAAGAAGTATGAAAATATATTTCCAAGTATGTTGAAAACTGAAATATAGTGTTCTGACCACAAAGAGGGAAAAAAGACAGGAAATGAAACATATCATTTAAAAATGATTTATTAAGAGAAAAATTCATAGTTATCTTTATTGTTATTAGACATAATGGATTTACATTATATAAATTATCTGTACAGTTAAATGATGCTCCCATACACAAGAGGAAGCTTTCACTAGGTGACCAATATTTAGTAGATTGCAAAAGAATAATAATAATAATAAATAATAATAATAACTTCAGGAAAACTTTCAAAGGTCCCTTATTAACTGAACTTTTTGCAGACACACAAAACTGTTTAGTAGGGAAGGAGGAGAAAGCACAAAAGAAGAAAGGAAAATGAAAAATCCTGGAAGAATTTTACTTGTGAAATAATTAAGATTTGGCAGTTCAACTGTATCCTGATAGTTTTAGAACTCAGAAATTAAACTGATTTCTACCTTTCAAGACAGAGTGAACTTTATTTAGTGCTGAACTGGGAAATGTGGAGACTGGGAGTGCTCATTTCACTTGACACCTTTCCACTAGCTAATTGCAGAAGGCAGTTAATAACCATATCTTTGGCTTTGGTGGTCTTCATGTTCATCTCTTGGGATAGTTTCATGCTGATTTGATCTACATTTGTCATTATGAACTCTGAAGTCAAGATTTGAGTGGGAGATATGCTGCTGCCCATCACATCCATGATATATTGTTTATAAAGCTCTAGTACTTTCTCCTCCAAATAATTATTCAGAATTGAATTTGAGAGAGGCTGTTGATGGTGCATGATGCTGGCCATGATGCAGCATGATGAATTCCTTTGGGACGGTTTCCGCGGGACCTCAACAGGCAATATTGGAATTGAATCTATTGCCAATGGAATCTCTGACGATTCCAAGAATGGGCATATCCCACTGTCATAAATAGCATCTCTTTTAATTGAATTCATTGGCAGCACCTGATCACCAGCGATATGCAGGTCATTGTAGTTCTTACAAATGCTTTTACAAGAAGAAGGAACAAGGTAAGTATCTTTGCTTATGGATGATCTCACACAGATTTCCACAGGTTCAGATGTTTGCCTTTCAAATATTGGATATTGAATAGTTTGTTTCAATGTGTCTTTCTTTTGTTTATTATTTTTGGGTTTTTTGGAAGAAACAGAGATCATAAATGTGTCCATGGATCTATAATTACAAAATAAACTTCTACTTTGCATGTTGTCTGTTGATTCATAAGTGACACCATTTAATGACTTCAATTCATGTATTGCCTCTTCTGTTTCTGTTCCATAGAGCGTGTAATTCAAGAGCTCATGATAAGGGATTTTACAAAGATATCCTTCAGACAGCATTCTTTGGCAAGAGGGGAGAAGAAAAAAGATTATCAGAACATGCAAAATATTACTAATAAGAAATCAGAGCTGACTGTGAGTTTACTGGCTGAAATATTTGGCATGGTATTTGATCAAATATAATGTGCTGACCTTGAAATAAGTATGATATTTAAATTCATTCTTAATTAATCATAATCCCTGTTTCAAAGCTCATGAAACTTAAGATAAACCAGCCATTCCAGCCAAGTAAAATATTACTGGTGTATACATGTAAGGGTTTATTGATAAATCAAGAGCCAAATTCTATTAGGGTAGCCACACTCTTTGTTTCTCAGTATGAAGACCATGACAATGGAAGACCAATTTGGTCCCAAGGAACAGCTGTGGGGAATTTGCTGAGCCACTCACCACTAGACAAAGAATTCTATTTTTGCTAATTTGGAAAGTACAAGGGTAGCATTACTGTGCTACATTTATCAGCTACAGTAATTTTAATCACAGACTTTGGCCTAATAAAAAGAAACAAAGGCCAAAAATAGCATTTCAAAAAACCCCAGCAAAAGAATACCAAATACCTAAGAATGATATGATGCAAATCATATTTTTTTTACCTTAATAAAATTGTTTTATCTTCCTTTTTTTCCATTCCACATCCTGTTTTTCTAATTTTGAATCTGCAAAAAAGGGTTTTTCCTCTATTTTGAATTGCTTATATTTGAATATAGGCTGCTTTGGAAGACAATAATTTCTGGGGGGAAAATGTGTTTTTTAAGCAATATATAATTGTTAGCACATCTGAACAGTAATAGTTTAGTTAACATTTAAAAGTTAAGTTTAAAATATTAGTAAAGGTTCTTAAAATTATTTGAAAAATAATAAATACTTTGCAATAATTTGACCCAAACAGAGAAAACATAAATTAATCAAGTGTTTCTTTAATAGTAATTATGCACCTAAAAGAATATCTGTAGCTCAGGCTTGAACTGTGGGGTTCTTTGTGCTCTTTGAGCTTGATTGTTTGCTTATACAGGTTTCATTACCCAACTAGCTGACATATCAGTGAGTATGTGATTTGCTGCCTGTCTATATGCAGTAGCTTGCCCTGTCAGTTTTGGTGCAGATGTAATTTCTCCTTGGTGATGTCTTTGATCGGGGTATTGTTTTTTGCACAATTGTTTGCCTGGTGCTGGTCCATTATCTGAATGTGGTACTGGTGGGATTCAAATATGTGAACAAATGGTTCTCTGTGTGGATGCAGCTTCCGGAAGTCTATCCTGGGCCTGGGCAACAAAAAGTAGCTACTGGTTCTGCCGAAGTGGTGTTAACTGGCTGAATCCCACCACTGGAATGTGGGCTGATGAAGGGGGTATGTGGTAGTCTTTTTGTTTGCATCCTAGGTTTTTTATTGTCTCTTTTAAATTATTTGTAATTATGGTTTATGTCTATGTATCTACTGGTGACTGATTTGTCTGAATTTAAGGTTCCAGGAAATAATAATAATAATAATAATAATAATAATAATAATAATAATAATAATAATAATAATAATAACAACAACAACAATAACAACAACTATTATTATTGTTGTTGTTGTTGCTGTTGTTGTTGTTGTTGTTGTTATTATTATTATTATTATTATTATTATTATTATTATTATTATTATTATTATTATTATTATTATTTTGGAAGGGATATTGGAGGTCAGTCAGTCCAACCCTCTGCTCAGGCAGGAAACCCTATACCATTTCAGACAAATGGCTGTCCAGTCTCTTCTTAAAAACTTCCAGTGTTGGAGCATTCACAACTTCTGGAGGCAGGTTGTTCCACTGATTAATTGTTCTAACTGTCAAGAAATTTCTCCTTAGTTCTAGGTTGCTTCTCTTCTTGATTAGTTTCCATCCATTGCTTCTTGTCCTGCCTTCAGGTGCTTTGGAGAATAGCTTGACTCTCTCTGTGGCAACTCCTGAGATATTGGAACACTGCTATCATGTCACTCCTAGTCCTTTTCTTCATTAAACTAGACATACCCAATTCCAGCAACTGTTCCTTATATGTTTTAGCCTCCAGTCTTCTAATCATCTTTGTTGCTCTTCTCAGTACTCTTTCTAGAGTCTCAACATCTTTTTTACATCATGGTGACCAAAACTGGATGCAGTATTCCAAGTGGCCTTACCAAGGCATTGTAAAGTGCTATTAACACTTCACGTGATCTTGATTCTATCCCTCTATTAATGCAATTCCCTAGCATTTTTTTTAATTTGGCTTGGTCTAAGAAGCTAATAGTTTCTCTGTTGAAACTGTGTTTGAGTCTGTCCTCATGTTATGAGATTAATGAGTTTTTGTCATGCCTTCTGTAGCTACTTGATATTTTGGTGCACTTGGCTGGTCTTTTTGTCCTACATAGTTGACTGTTGCAGTCTTTTCATTGTACATTGTACATGACCGTTTTTTCTTCTTGGGCTATTGGGTCATTTGATTTTATTAAAATGTTTTGAAGGGCTTTAACGAAAATCTCTGGTCCAATTTTGCACTGAAATGCAAAATGGACAGTTTTAATGATCTTTTAAGCCATGCGTCCCCAACTTCTGGGCCACAACCTATTTGCAACTGGGATGCAACTGCCGGGCTGGCATGTATGCACACGCTTGTGCAGCTCAATTTGTGCAAGTTGAGTTGTGTGCACATACATGTGCGTGCCAGTCTGCCACTCACATGTGTTGAGCTGTGCACCACTGCTCACATGGCCCATTTCCCTCTCCCCCCCTCCAGCAAGGCTGCCAAGCTACAAAGGTTGTGGATCACTGTTTTAAGCAATAAAGAATGGATGGTTTAATAGTCACAGCTCTTGCAAAACAGTACAAATGTGACAAGGTATATTTATATGCTAATCACGTGAAGTATTAATACCACTTTACAATGCCTTGGTAAGGCCACACTTGGAATACTGCATCCAGTTTTGGTCATCACGATGTAAAAAAGATGTTGAGACTCTAGAAAGAGTACAGAGAAGAGCAACAAAGATGATCAGGGGATTGGAGGCTAAAACATATAAGGAACGGTTGCTGGAATTGGGTATGTCTAGTTTAATGAAGAGAAGGACGAGGGGGGACATGATAGCAGTATTCCAATATCTCAGGGGCTGCCACAAAGAAGAGGGAGTCAAGTTATTCTCCAAAGCGCCTGAAGGCAGGACAAGAAGCAAGGGATGGAAACTAATCAAGGAGAGAAGCAACCTAGAACTAAGGAGAAACTTCTTGACAGTTAGAACAATTAAACAGTGGAACAACCTGCCTCCAGAAACGGTGAATGCTCCAACATTGGAAGTTTTTAAGAAGAGACTGGACAGCCATTTGTCCGAAATGGTATAGGATTTCCTGCCTGAGAAGGGGTTGGACTAGATGACCTCCAAGGTCCCTTCCAACTTTTTATTATTATTATTATTATTATTATTATTATTATTGTTGTTGTTGTTGTTGTTGTTGTTGTTGTTTTTTAATTATTATTATTATTATTATTATTATTATTATTATTATTATTATTATTATTATCTTTCTTAAATGTTGTCTAAGCTTGTTTGTTTGCTTGCATTTGTTTCATACCCAACTAGGTAACATTATGCAAAGCTAGTAGTATAGAGTTTACTGCCAGCTTATAAGTCATAGTTTGCCCTGAAAATTTTGGTGGAGGTTTCGTTTTCTCCTTGATGGTTTTACAAACCTGGCTTCAAACAGGATAGAAGGATTGGCACTGGATTTGCTGAGGAAGTTGGATACTTTCGTGGCATAGTGTCATGTTACATCCAATAAGCAGGACTAGAAACAAATAGGTAAGCTCATAGAATGCAAGATTTCCAACTATCCGTTATTAATGAGGAGTTAGGAAAACATAACAAAACGATTCTAGTGACTTTTATGTTTCAAGAGCAAAACGTATATGTAAGAACAATAATCAAACCCTTTAGCACCTTTTTCTCATTGATGCCTATGCAACAGCTAATGGGTCTCTTCTTTTATAGGAGTAGTCCAGTGTTCTTCTTTCATTTGTTTTTGCAGTCATTTGATTTGCTATCATAATTGTATCAAAATTAACTCTCACACATAGTGGAAGATGTGCAGGTCTTGGTTGTGCTCAAAGCTGGAAGGCACAGTGAAGCAACAGAAAAGCAAACACTAAAACACACTTGTCCTGGAGCTATAGCATGGATGAAAGGAAAAAGTCCAGCTTTGCTCTAGGTTCATGTAAGCTGGCACAAAGTCAGGGGGAAAAAATCAGCCTTGAAACAACCAACAATGTGGTCAGGAGCTGATCTGGAAATATGGAAAGCCCAAGGGAAAGCTTAACTAAACTACAAAATGTGGTATCAGAAGATGGCCATACAGATGTCAATTTAAAAAGGACTTAGACACATTAATGTCTAATGGAATGTTATTGCTACTTGAATGTCTGTATCAATTAGTAGAAGACAAAAGGAGAGCAATAGAATTGTTGATCCTTATTGCATTGATGTGTATTATTGAAGGTGTGTTAATAACTTTGTACACACTACATATTGATAACTTAAAGTAGCAGTAATGAGTATCATTTTAACACCCATTTAATTTTTTAGAGTTAATTCTGTATTCACAGCTGGTAGAGTGCCACTTTTAAGTAAAACATTGTCACTTATTTTACCACTCATTAAGTGACAAGGAAAGGAAAGGAAACTATTATTTTTTTATTCATCTGGTTTAAAACAGCAACGGCACATCCACTTGACAGATAAGATACGTGACCTACTGATAATCCAGTAGGATCATGCTTTTCTTTTTTTAACAAGCCTTTGCAAAGTGGCTATCAAGTCAGGGCTAAATTGAAGTTGCTGAAGTAAGAATAATTATTATCTGGAGCAGGGGAAAGAGACGCATTAAAAGCAGATGAGTAACAGAACACTGAGTTATTTTAAGCAGGCTTGTACCCTTACTGGAAGCAGCTCTCCAAAGTTCTGGAAATAATCTTTTAAGCCCAATTTGGAAATTTGAAATGTTTCCATGGAAGTCAGTAAAGAGCTTAAATGTAAAAGGAAAGAGAAGAGCAAAATAAAAAAGCACATGCAAGTA